GGCATACGTGGAGGCATATTGGATCAATGACCAATTGCTACGAGCCAACAGCCATTACACGTTGATAGCAAGCACTGCATCAAGATTAAATTGCGTTGTCGAAGCCTTTCAATGTTGACGCTGATCCCCCCTCCCCATTATGGTTGCTTTCTGTCCCCTCTTCTCTTTTTGTACAGGGAAAGTTAGACAGGCGCAGCCGGGGCTGAATGCAGGAGATATGGACATCAGAAGTTGGCTGTTTCTACTCTGTAGATACACAGAGAAGCAATGGGGCAGGTGGAGAAATTTTGTTTCCTCGGGTCATGTTTGCCGATGATGAAAAATGGGAGGAAGAGGTCAGTCGGGGAAGTGGAGTAGTCAGCGTTCTGTGAACTAGCCAAAACCGTAATACCGAGGTATAGCTGAGTCTAAGACCAGTCTGTCCGTGTTCATGTCGCTTTTCATCCTTACGCTAATTTATACCTTCGATCTTGGGTACAAGAGGCTGAAGTTGGTTTTCTGAGGCAAATCACTGGACTCACACATCTCGACATAGTCGAGAGCTCAAATATCCGAGAGACCCTTGGTGTGCAGCGGCTGTTTCTGCAAATGGACAAGTCACAGTGTTTTGGTGGTGCGCACTTGCGAGTGCACTCAGGAAGGGAGGCGAAACATCTACGTTTGCCAAACCGACCTCTAATTACCCTGGGGATATCCAAGAATTACTTTGAGATGTGACTAGTGGTCTTGGGTTGCCTTCTACTAAAGGTGAAACGCTGGCACAGGATCAAGAACGCTGAAGATAAAGTCCAATGCGTCTGATTTTGCGACTCGATAGGATAATGGACGATCGAAGCTGACAGACTGATCTACTCTTCATTTACCCCGATGTTGTGAACTAGAAAACTCCTAAACTTAGGGATGACACCTGAAGATCAAATACAGCTCCGGGTGTTTCCTGCATTGATTAAGGCAGCCAGAAAGTCTTTCATTATCCTGAAACGTGGTGCTGGTTTTTCACACCAGAAATGTGGCAGATAAATTTATGATTTGAGAGGAAACTGATTTAGCATAATAATATTCTGTTTTGAAACCCAGACAAATGAAGAATTGTGAGAGGGATATCGCTTTAACAGAAATTAAACTACAGATGAGCCATATGAAGTAGCATAGATCAATGCAATCTTCATGAACCTCACAGTTCTATTCAACAATGATTAGCTTATATTGATCCATGCTATTGCATGCAATCCATCTACTGTATTCGCGTCCATCCCTTAATTATGATGTTTTCACAAATTTCGTTTGGTCCTCTTCTTCCTGTACTGCTGAAGACTTGCTAAACTCCAGAATGAGAGTCTTGTTCGATCCCAAATTAGGTGAAGCAGTTTAATTGGAATATTTTATAGAATTATTAATATTCACTTTTCAGCAAATTTTTCATGTATGTTTAACAGGCGAACTTGAAAGTAGATTGCGTCAAATGTTAGAGCGAGGTTTTACCGTTTTTTTAAATTTTAAAATTTACTGTAAAAGTTAATTCGTGTTTTCTATTTGATTATTGCACACCTTCGATGTACAACTAGGTTTTCGTCGCAATCCTTCTAACCACGACATGCAATGGTTTTATGGATAAAACAGTGTTTAAACTTCTGCTAGAAACTAACCTGTGTTTCAGTGACCTGCAGTTTTTTCGCCAGCACCGCTCTTTCGCTGGACGACAGGTATTTTTTGATTTCGAAGTGCCTCTCCAGTTCTGAGATCTGCCGACCGGTGAACGTGGTCCTTGCTTTTTTCCTCGACTTCATTTCCAACGGCTTCGGTGACACTTGTTCGATGCAAACGCCGTTGGTATTCGTAAACGTGTCTAAATCAGAGCACTTGGAGTGATGCCAATATGCCATTTTTGTTGGTGATACACAAGATAGTTTTCGAGCCTCAAAACTCCCTCACTTCATACAACCTCTGAAATTATATTACCATGATAAGAAGGTGACAATACACGTGCGTGCACTGAACTTTAATTCTGTTTCTCTCCTTCTAGATGAGGATGACAACGTCCAAATTATGAGATCACGTTCTAAGTCGAATCAGGGTAGAACGGATTATCTGAATCTGTTGGAGTCGTTTTTCAATTTCTGTGGATGAATGAGTGAGTTAATGAAAACCAGAGGATGAATCAATGTCAGCGGAACCCTGACAGAACTGCCCACCGAGGTAACGAGACGATGAATCACCTACGAACCTACCTACGAAATAAATCGTCAGCGACCATCTTTGAAAATTATGATTTTTACCTAATGTTAAAGAAACAAAAGGCTGACATGAGAAGGTAAGTGTTCAACAATGCCGTCCTGACACCAAGCAAAAAAATCAACTACAAAAAAGAACAGATACTCCATGATGAACTGCATTTTCTTAAAGCAAATAGGACTTTTTCTCTTCTCTTTCTTTTTCGTAAAGAAAACAACATGCAAATGACGACTATCATTGAATCGTAAGGAAACAACGTTTATGAAAAATTAACATTTCCTCCAGCCAACCAGCATGTCAGATTGGGAGCCTCAGACTCACGCATATTATATCAGATTGGATCTGGAATCTTTTCTGGTGCAAGGCAAGAGCAGATCAAAGTATGAGCTAACTTCCCAAAGAACTTTAGAGACAAACACGTTTCTGATATCCTAAGCATGCAAATAGATATGCAGCTGATTGGTGTAAAGTAAAGAACGATAAGTTTTCATTAACGAAAAGTTAGCGGAAATTTGGAGAAATTGCATTGAATTGCACCTAATTCTTTCTTGACAGAGCTAAATGGTTTTGTAAGATGAAATCAATAAGGAAATATTTGTAACTGGGTTTCATAAGTCTAAAGGAGGCCAGGATTACAGGCTGAGCGTCGCCAGTCACTCATGGGTATGAAACCTCAGCCTCTACGTGAATTAGCCATGCAAGACAAAAACGAATGGGATGCCCTCATGGTCTGAAGCTAGCCAAGCGACGGACTATATGACAAATCAAGAGCAGAATGAAGCACAATTTATACACCACCCCAACAGTATTTTAAATTATATGATTGATCAGTACAGCAGTTTTGGCTAATGTCTCATGCGCCTTCTTCAAAATGTTAAGAGGTTGTTTGACCTCGGAATTCCATTTAGACGACCATAACCGTTGCTACATTAAAAACCAGAAACATTGGTACTGGTCATCTGAGTGACCAAATTGTTTACGTATATAAATAAAGCGTGTTTTATACTGTTTTCAGTATAATCACAATCTCACAAAAAATACTCAATCTTCAGGTACAGAAAATCATCAATTAAGAGTTACTGACCGTGGCATTTGCGGCTATCCATGGCAAGAATGTCGTCAATGGAATATGGCGTAGGTCTTCGAGTAGTGTACAGAGTACCTGAACGCCAAAACGGAAGTGGCAGCAGCGGAAAGTAGATGGTCTGCACGGCATTCATAGCTACCTCTGGCGCCGTTGGTGTCGTCCTGATGGTCGCTGCAGTAGTCAGTAATTCGGCCACGTTTTGCATACTGTATGGGAGTGAAGAAGGGAGAGAAGTCGATGGCAGCGTTCGTTGTTTTCTGATTACGCGAAGCGACGATTAATTGGATTCTACTTAAGAAGTGATTAAGGAGTAATTTTCCGTCCTTTCCTCGCTCAGGTGAAAATATGTAATAAGCGGCTCAGTCGTTCGTTTGGCAAACGAGGAAGACGGCCGACTAAGGCTAAGGACAGAGAACGCACTCGATGGCGCTTAACGAAGCCCTCTTGTCGCCATTACCTCCTGAGGCAAAAAGGAGGCGGTCGTCATTAAGCTGTGAGGCAACCACCGTATCATCAATACGTCGTTAATGAGTGAATGAATGACGATCGAAATCGGCTCGACGACACTCGACAAACTTCCCTGCTTGTCAACACCACCCAATTGTGTCCGTAATTCGATCTGTGGCAATCTCACGTGCTTTCACACTTGCCATCAAAGGATACGATAAGTCTACTGTAAGTTTGAATCTACTTGAAAACATGGATTGTGACGAAAGTATCGCAGCTTGTTAATGTAATATCAGTTACTTGAGCTATAATACAGCTAATCATCACCTACTCGAGTACTGTGGTTTCGATTTACAAAAATAGGGAGATTCATTTGCCAAGAAATGATTAAATCTTAAAGGCTCAGATCTGTTCTCAAAAGATATTTCTGTAATGAGTGCCGTCGAGAATTTCCACCGTGAAAGGGGCTGCATTAAAGTTTGTTTCCGTGCATCCTGTTTCAGCGGGCGTTTCACTTTATTCACTTCTGCTTTGACGGAAGTAACAAGGCAACCCTTTACCGACTATACGCATAAGTTGATGACTGTTAAACAAGCATTAGGTGAGAGTCATGTCGCAGATGCTTAAGCAGTCATAAAATAAAATGAAATTCATATGTTTGTTTGCGAGATGATAAATGGTGGTATTGACATTGCTTAGATTTTCTTTTCTTTTTTGATTAGTCGTAGCTTTGTAACTGAAATCACTCTGGGTTCACTTTCAAATAAATTACAGATGAAGGATACAGATAGTCAGATAGTTGTCGAGGTTGATGTGGCATTTTTATACCGATGAGGGTAGAATGTTGATCATTTGAGGAGGTAATTACAACAAGGCCTAAAATAAATCGTTGACGGAAAATCGTAAATAGGATAATTGGCAAATTTTGAGTTGCTAAAACGGTGTTAAAAATATCAAGAAGATGGAAAACTGCTAGGTATGGAAAAAACTGTTCTGCCGAATCATATTTACATTAGGTTAAATAGGATAAATTTTTGACTTTTCATCCTGAAAGTTCATTAACTGTTTTCATCTATTTGTGTTGGTATGAGTGTTCTTACAAACATGCTGCATCTCAGCTCTGTCAGATGCTGATGCACCGTCCCCATTCTTTTGTTCCGTGATGGTCGTTAATAAAGTGCTTACTTTCTTCTGCACTGTCTGAGGTGTGTGGTATTTTTTTGTTTTTTTTCTCCTAATTTTCGCTGTCGGAAGGTCTCTAATTCGTTGTTTTCCATCTAATGAGATTGCAGAGAAGAAAGCACTCCAACGTGCAGTTCTGTCTCTCTTCATCCTCATCCGCTTTTCTAGGTAACCTTTTGTCTCTTCTGAGATCCCTCTTGATGTTACTGCCTCGACTGGCTTTCCGCAACGTCTCAATTTTGTTAACGAACTTCCTGGTTGTGGTCGCAGCTGCTTTTCAGGCTCCAGTTTTCATTGGAAATGCTTGCTTGAAACACGGTTTCATAGAATATCTTCAGTCATTGTCTGCGAATTGCCGTCTGCAGTGCCTTCCTCTCTTCTTCTCCTCTAAAGAATCCAGTCAGTCGCCACTACCAGTGTTCATAGATAGCAGTAACACTAACGTTTTGGTTGATGTGGTGTTTATCGAACAGAAAGAAGTCGATTTCTTTCTTCGTTGTTACGCTGGTTGCGATTCATTTCCAACACCTGTTTGCCTTCTTCTTGAAGTAGGTTTATTTACTATACAGGTGTTTCGATCTTCTCCCAGTCTCCAGCCGATTTCCTTATCCATTTCCTTCTCCGCCACCATACCTAGCAACATATTTTTCACTGACCTTGGCATGACGTCATGCACGTCTACCATGACGACGGTATACATGCACTTTGGAACCAGTGGCTGTTCCAATTCTTGATATATTCCTCCTTGTTAGCTATATTTTTTAGGAGCATCTTCATCGTCATCTTCGTATACAATTGCAGGCACAACAAGACCTATCTTGATGACTTCACATGACTAGAGACGATTTTGCGGGACCAGCGTTTGCTTACTACAAATCTGACTCCTCGTATATTCTTTGCGCCCTGTCGTTGTCCTAGCAAAATCGAACTACCGTCTTTCGAGGTGATATTTATTCCCTTTCTGTCGTCGTTTCTCGCGGAGGTTACGGATATCGCAGACCATTCCAAACATTTCCTCTATTAGTTGGTTCCACGTTTCTTCCTTCACCAGTGTTCTACCGTTGTTGGTGCAAATAGCGAGGGAAGTTCGAATCGATTTACCGAATGGAGGTCTTTCATGTAGGGTTTCAGGCGGCCTCTTCTCAGTCGAATTCCGAGCCTCGCCGTTGATCTGGTCGAGAGACGCATGGAGAAGTGGGGCCCATTTATTCGTTTTGCCATAGCGTATGAAGTTTTCTCATTCACTGGCCTGGAGAACTTCGTAGAGGTGGATCTCTCAGTTCCGTTCAGCCCTTTTTATTATCAAGTTGTATCTTCGAATCTTCGATGAAAAGGCGTCTAAATGCGAGTAGGTGGCGATACTGGCTGCGTTTTTCCTTCAGAGGGGTGAATCTCTTTCGCCTCGAAATTATACTCTCACGATGACTTTTCTCTGAGGATCGAATTCGTCGAAGCTAGAACCCAGGCACATTCTAATGGTCTCACCGCTTTTTGTTTACGACTGCTTGTTTGTCGCCGCCAACTTTCCATATCTGAAAGTCAGTCCTCTATCCACAATTCGAAAACGCGCCAGATGGCCAACAGTAGGGTACATTAGTAGAAACGCATGTAATACTATTCATATGGAAATTCATAGCTTTACGTCACCTGTTTGCCCCCCCCCCTCCCCGCAATTATAGTGCCATGAGTGTTATTTTCAATCTAACTCCAAGAGTCACCGGCG